GAGCACCAAATCTAATTTCTGGTTTAAAAATGGAATGCAGTGGCAGATAAAAATACTTAAGGCATAGCAGTAATTTTATTTGGGTCCTCAATGTGGAGTGGCCCTTGAAAAATCTAGAGCTGTATTTGTAATGTCATGGTATTTAAGATATTGAATGCTTTTGGAACCCCATCTACAAAGGAATACTTCAGTGTTTTTTAGCTGTTAGTTCCATTTAATTTGGAAAAGAGAGGAGGGAACAGTCAGTTTACAGATTTTCACTTGTCATTTGAACTTTAGGGAAGGGCTTTGGACACAATTTGGGGCGAGGCGGGGGTGGTTATTTTCTTGACCCTAGGTATTACCATTGCTCCAGTGATTCTAGGAGGGAGCCTCCAACTTAGCAGAATTACTTGAACAATTTTCTTTTTCAAGTGCCTGCATAAACATCCCACAGGGACACCATACCTGCCTCTGAGCTTGGTATCAATTCTCAGTGTGCTTCACAGCCAGGGGAGGCAGCGAAAATGAGTCAGAGGAGTAAAGGCATTTCTCTTCTGTTTAATGAATAAATGCATCTTTGCATTAACATCTGTGTAGAAGAGAGACTCGCACATGTGCTCAATTCTACACTCGACAGGTGATTTATTTAACAGAGGTTGGAAGAACAGAAGTTTTGCTGTTGAGAATACCAGGCATACCTGGCAAGGCCTTTACCTTTTTTAATATTTTTTTTTCCAATTTCTTTTTGGCTGTCTAAATAGAGGGAGATCAAGGACTCTTATTTTACGAAGTTTAACAGTGTCATTGATCTGGGGCATTTTTTAAGTGGTTATATAAAAACAATCAGATTAAATCCCCCCCAAAACCAACCGAAAAACACCTTCACCCAAATATTACTCCTCCAAAGAATTCAACAGAATAGGATTGAAATTCAGGAGTTCCTAAACTCCAGCTGCGTGCGTAGAGCAGAATTGCATTTGAAAAGGTTTGGTATTAACAACAAAATCACGCGCTTTGAGGATACATAGAACAGCTTGGATCTTTTACATGGTGAATCCAGCATGGTATTGGTTTATGATGAAGTTGGGGGAAAAGTCTAGTTTCCCCCAAATACATTCCCACAGGCTGCTACAGTTTGACTTATTGTTCTTATGGATAATATTCTACCATTGTAATTGGGTATGGCTTTGGATAAGAGAGCAGAATTGTCTTTTTTGGGTGTGTATGTGTGTGTCATCTTTTACATGGATCGGCAGGCTTGTTTGGTTTTCTATTGTAGTTACCCATGCAATAAGCAGGAACATTGTGTGGTTAATTTTTAATAATTAGTACACAGCTGCCCAAAGGGGAAGCTGTGTGGGCAAGAGATCTTGTTGATCTTTGTTTTAACAGCTGGTATTATTAAGGGAAAGCTTTGCAGAATGGAAAAAAAGAGGATGAAAATCAGTCAACAGTTAATCCAGAGATGTAGCCAGGCACCAAAAGATTTACTGGGAATTAGTTCTAAAATTGCATTTGTTCAAATTATTTCAGAATAAAAGAATGGGTGTGTATGAAATCAGGGAAGTGGGATGGTGCAGGGGAACAGTGAAAAGTTGCAACATTGTCAACTGAAAAACCGTCCTGGAACAACAACAGCGTATATTTAGCATTGTTACCACGCTGCAAGTCCTGAGGGAGGCAGCTGGGTTCTGGCGCTCTGCTGCGCCTCATGATTGATACCATCCCGGCAGCAGAGCCGTGCACACCAGAGTCTGCTCATTTTCAAAGCTCTTGTTTATAGCGCACGGAGCAGTGAATCCCTGTGGGTCCTTGCAGTCTGCAGCTCTGGATACTGTCAGCAAAACCCAAATCCTTGTCCCATTCCTGTTCCCCCAGGATGAGCAGAAGGAAGAGTTTAGCATTGCTTTGCTTTGTTTCTTTGCTTTTAAAATGAGTTGCGTGGGTATTATTAATGCTAATGGTAGAGATGCATCATCTCTCCGGGCCTCAGTAGGTTTTAGCAGTTACGGGCCTTTGCTTAGCTAATGGGTCAGGATTTTAAGGTCTAGATTCTGCTGCTTATGCCCATACTTAGTAGGAATAAGTGCACTTAAATCGGTTGAATTGCACTAGCCTCACCAAAAGGAGAAGCAGCATGTGCATATTTGTCGTCAGTTTAAGTGACTGAACGTGTACGGAAAGAGGTTGAAATGCACTCAGTCGTTCAATAAAAATGGTATTTCTGACCTTACCTCTGGCATTAGTTGAGGTTTCTCTCTTATTATCTTGCTCTTTAAGGGCTTTCTTATGTCCTGGGTTGTAATTTGCGCATTATAACGTATTTTGAAACAAAACTGTGTCCCATTCTGGGGTTTCTTGTGTGTATTTTATAAGCAGAATTGCGTGTGTGAAAAGAAGTGTTCATTTCTGAATGGTCTGATGGCAGATGGTTCTCATTGTGGTGAAGTTGTGCAGTGCCTCAAACCTCAAAATGTATAAACTTATTTGAAGGAAATGAATTGCTGCTGCAGCATGGCCATCTATGAAAAGTACCCTTGGACATTGTGAACAATGTTTTTTAAGCCTTCTTCAAAGAAAACTAGAATAATTTTCAAGAGCATGAAATTTTGACACCTCTGAGATGCACATTTCCTCTTTCAGGAGATGTAACAACTTCTGTAGAAGCATCTCCCACTGATAAGAGCAGATGGGTTGCATTGAGTCTCCTGATGCCTCTGTATGGCCTTTTCAGGTACTTGAATAAAAATGAAACAGCACCAGTATAATGATGTGTATTAGATGGACTTACAGTCTTCCACATGTGCCATCCAGAGCATGTAGCCTACGTAACTGCACATCAAAATCTTCCCTGTTCCAAGAAAACCAAGCTTCCAGTTAGCCTTTAGCCTGCAAAAGGACTGTTTTACTGCCCTTAACTATCAGTATCCTTTGACTCAGTTGCTGTTTCTTTTAATCTACGTGTTGCTCATCAGCTCTGTCCTGCTCCAGCTGAGCTGTTCACATCCTCCTGCCTTCTAACTCCCCAGAATTAATCATTCCTCTCTGTTGTCTTACCTCACAGCATCTTTTCAAGCTGCTGCAGTACCAGCAACCACATCCTCTCTCACATGGCACATCCTCCTCTCACCTTCCTTCCTGGCTGCTGTGTTAGCACTGTTACTTGTGGTGCCTCTATAGAAACAGGGCAAGTTCTGCTTTACCACATCCTTTGTAGGATACAGCAGGCTGAGGGGGAGGAGTAGGCTTGGTCTGACACCAGGATGGCAGAGGTGAAGGGTTTGGGGGTCTGATAGGTTTGGGCTCTGGTGAGGAAGGCTGTTTGCTGTAGTGGTAAGAGCAGCACCTGGAGCCAAGACCAGGAGGTTTTGTGCAGGAGCACCTGCTTTTCCTGGAGCTCCACTGCTCCCACACCCGTGGCTGGGCGGCAGCAGTGACTCAGAGGATTCTGGCTGCTGCAGGAAGGAGTAGTTTCTGCTCCTGGTTTAGGCTGTCAGCAGAGAGAACGAGGCATGGAGCATGCATGCGTGAACATCTTGGCAGCTGGTGACACCAGTTGTACTCACACAGGGAAGCATCCTCCCGTGAGCCATGTGTCAGGTTTTGCCAGGCTTCCATCCTAGGTGCTAAAGTGGGTCACCAAGGCGAGTGCTCTGCTGTGTTCTAGGTGACCTGTCAGGCAGCAGCAGAGTCTTGCTGCCAACCTGTGTGCCTGCTGAAGGAGCTGCTCTCTCTCCTTCCCTGATTTCAAAGCTCACTGCTTGGCTTTGTGTTCCAGTTTGCTGTTGTGCTCTCTGTAGCCTGCTGCTGTGTTTTACAGTCTGGTGGTGTGCATCTTCATCAGATCGTACACCACACTAGTATGAAGGCAAGCTCAGCATTTTCATTGCAGCTTTACTGTAGGTGGATCTTTCTGTTAGATGTTGCAATTCAAATTCAGTTTGTTCCCTGTCAACCCTGACAACCTGGTTGTTCTCCCAGAACCGGCCCTGCCTCAGCGTGGTTGTGACACTCATTTTGCTCTCCAGGAGCTACCCTCTGCCCATTCACTTGGGTGGCTTTTCTTTCAGAAGTGCTTCTTGTTTGACTTCAGTCAAGTTTCCATCAAGGCAGGGTTAGGGCATGGCCGAAACCTGCCCATGAGACAAGCACTTCTGCTTAATTAGCAGGAGGGGTCACTCTTGAGTTTGTGGAAGGTGGTTTTTTTGGGTGGGGATGAGCCTGGTAGGTCTCAGGCGCAATTAAGAGGGTTCCTCCCTGTTGCCACCCTTTGCTGTGCAAAGGGCCTTGCTCTACCAGAACAACATTATTTTAAATCCAAATTAAAATTGGCATAAATATTGGAACTTATTTTGCTTTACACCTTCAGCAAAATGCTGACCAGAGTAAGCATTTCAAGACTGAAATACAGACTAGTAACTGCTTAATTCGTGATGTTTATTGGAACAAGTAGGACAATTAGAGGTGAGCTTATATAGCAACACAGAAGACATTGCAACATTAAACGCAGTCTGTTTCTATTCTTCATTTCTGGGTTTCTCCTCCCCAACACTGAAATGCACTCCCTTGCCTAATGATGCAGCAAAGAGTCTTATTTTTGTTTCTGTTTTCTCCCCATTAGATAAAGTTCTGAGGTGAATTAGAAGAGAGAAAATAATAGTTAAAAACCTTTTGGGCTTTATGGAAAATGAGTGTAAGGGATGAAGATGAAGAGCAAGCAGATGTGGGAAAGTAGGGTGGGTTTTTCTGCAGTGTTAATTTTTCGGCTGGGGCAGAAATGTGCCTGTTGAAGGTGAAAGGCCAGGAAGAATTTATTTAATACTTGAAGGGTAAAATGCAATTAAGCACGTGGATGAATAGGAGATCTGCATGAAAAATGCATGTGATATTTTTGTGAACGAGAACCGGATATACAGGGGTAATGGAAGGACAGGTTCACAAAACGAGCAGTAAAGCCACAACTTCACTTGACTGTAAACCAAGAGAAATGGTTTCTCTGCCCCGTCAGTACATCTGCCATGGTGCTGTTAGTCCTCTTTGCCTGTGCTGCACGAAGCGAAAGGTTAGTGTCCTGCACTCCATTTAGTACTTAACATACTTAACATGTGTAAACATGGGTGTTTATTTGGTTGTAATTAACTGAGGATTTCACTGACTGGAGCTGACAAGGTTTGTGTGGGAAGTCGTCTCTCAGCAGTAGTGGCTGAGTCAACAGATGCTGAAGTGCTTTCGTATTTTCTGCTCATCTCTGTTTTCTGGAAGGCTCTTGCAGTGGTAGCCTCTACTTTATGCATTTTCTTTCATTATTAATTTGCCTGAGGACTGTTACATTTGCATATGGCTTTACCATAGCTCTCCGAGGATCTGTGTTCTGAATTCTGCTGTATTCTGCTAGCACTGTAGTGCCATATGGGACTTAACTGAGCCTATGGAGGTCTCATCATCTTGTTAATTATTTTTATAATTTGAAGTTGTTAAACCATGGAGTCTGAAAAAAGTAATTTAGGATTTGAACACTGTAATTTATTCTTCATCTTCACTTTAATTCCTTTTTGCCTATGGAAATGGGTGAGAGCATTTAAAAAAGAGCGATGTAGGAGGAGAATGTACGAACCAGAGGCGAAAATTAGCATTTATTTCACCTATTTTGCTTATGTTTTTAGGGTAGTGGATAAACAAGTAATTTTTGGAGGAATTGGAATTGAACTCTCTGGGGTATGAGACAGTAGAAAGTCTTCAGATATTTTTAACATTTAAGAATCACAGGTCTTTTATTATCTTTATTATCTTGCCAGATTAGAAATATGGGAGGAATATGCTAAATATAAAGGCTTTGTTTTTCTGTTATTCGCATCTGATTTTTCAGCATGTTCTGTCTTCACTGCTTGTCTCTATCAGGATTCTTCTTGATTTAGCACCGCTGCACTGCTACCTGTGAAAGTAGTGGAGAGACTGACAGTTCAGCCTGCTTACAGATACACATTAAACACTGCCACCTCAGACTAGTTTGAGCAGATCTGACATTATGACTAAAACGGCAGACTTAATTGGTAAAGTCTCCCAGAATCTAATATTCTGTTTACACTGGAAACCAAATTGAAATCGCAGGACTTGTGGCTTAGCTGTGTGGTGGAGTTGGACTCCAAGTCCTCAGCTTTTCTGTTGGCGAACAGTGGGTAGCAGCCACGGGGAGCACAGCGACCTGCGTGAGTGGTGTCTGGCTGCAGACACTGAGACTGTAACTCAGGAGAAGAGCAAGGATGCCACCTTTCTGAAGCCCCTTGGTGGCAAATTGAGGTCCCATCCATTGCTGGATCTGAACTATTTCACAATAGATGGAAGCGCTCGTGAAAGAGGAAGGAATATCTTACTGAGCTGATCTTCAAAGACCACATGGGTAACACTTTATTGCTCAATAATTGGTTGTACTCCATGTTATGTGGCTTAGAAACAGGAAGAAAGCTTTTATTTATTTTGTTTTTAATGGCTAACTTTCTTCTTCCCAAAATACTTTGCATTCCTGGGAAATGTCACTTAAGGAGAACAGATGAGAAGTAAAGGGATTTGACAGCTTAAAGTGGCCATTACAATGAGGCAAAGCAAATAGGCAGCACTATTTCCATTTTAAGCATTGTCAGTGCAACAAGCACGCAGCCGAGTTTCAAAAAGAATGCATGAATGTGAGGGTATTTGGGCAGCAGTAAAAATACCAGGAGAGAATTACTGGAGACAGAAATAAAGTTAGAAACACACTTTGCCTTGGGGATACAATTTTTAAAGCATTCTGGGTACTCGGTTGTTCAATTCCCATTCAAGTTAAGGACCAAATTTCTTCTTTCCTCTTCTGAGCTTTAATTTTTGCCTGCATGCTCAAGAACGTGTTAAGCTCTGAGCAGATATGAAGACGCTGTTGGAAGCAGCTTGCAGCAGAGGCTCTGCTTCCCCCCTCCCCAACATGAAGTTAATTCAGACTCCTCCATCACTTGGGGAGGGTGCGATGTGTTTGTCCTGGCAAGTGTCGCTGTCACTGGGAAACCAGTGGAGCCTGATGAAGAGGAATAAGTTACAGCTGTATGAGTAGTTTAATTATGTGCATATCTTATTGTCAGTTAATAGTCTGTTGCTTTCAATAAGCTGTTGATATCACAATAAGTAAGTTACAGAGACTTGAAAAAGGGAGAACGTGAGATTTATCAGGTTGGAAGGCCAAAGGATGTAGACAAGAACTTGAAGGCAGTGGTGGGAGCCTGCTGAGATACATGACTCGCTGTCAGTACGGGATTTTGCTAAGAGCGTTCTTAATGTATAAACCAGTCTCTGAGTCAGAGAAAAGTAGTGAACGCTTCTAGAAAATGTTTTGGTGTTTCTTTATCAGAGAAAACAGGTGCAAAGTGACCTTTTGTTTCTCCCCTTGCTGTGGTCTGGAGGGAGCATTCTCACTGAACACTGAGTCATGCTTCTTGTCTTGTTTTCTTTCTTTTCTTGAAGAATGCTAAAGCCTTGTGGAATTGTTTTCTAATGTTATCTGTAACTGGAAGGGTGAGGAGGCTGCGAAAATGAAGAGAGGAGAAATGTGTACATGGAAATCGAAAGCTGAAATAGCAGCACAACCTGCACAGCTGTAGGGACACGCTTTACCTGCTCTACATTGTATAGCCGTCTCTGGCACTCTCATAATCTCCTTAGAAGTTCTGATTTTTAATTGATTGCCTGTATCCTCGGACTTTGGGACTCCATGACTTAAAGATTATACTTTAATTATCAAAGCATTCTGTGTACACCCATCACCGCTTCATTAACTTTAACACAGAGCCTTTGCCTACCTTCAGCTCACAGAGCAGATCTACGAAGCAAGGAGGACTCTGTATTGGGTATCCCTCTGCATTGCCTTACCCTTGCAATCTCATGCCCAGCAAGTGATGATGTTGCCAATTTTACTGACTTTTTTGATCCTAAAGGAACACAGAAAAGAGAACTGCTCGTGCAATGCATGACACCAGTGTAACACGCTGGTGTGGGGCGCTGGCTGCTTGGTGAAATGGCACTCGGGCCAAAGCTCTTCAATGCCTGGAAAAAGACAAACTCTTATCTTAAGCAAAGTCTGCAGAAGGGAGCTAAACTTCACCTTGCATTTCGATAGCGGAGGTCAGTGCTTGCAGTTTATCTAGCTGAGGTTCTTCTGGTTACAGCTCAGCATAGGACAAGAGTCTGCTCACGTTATAAATAGCGAGTTAGCATCTTCGCACAGTTGGTTTGACAGCTGCTGCGCGGTGCGTTCACCTCTGCGCTGCACATCATGGAGTTTTCTTTTGCCAAACTTGACACAGTGAGGCCGCTGAAACAGTCCAGATCCATCTGTGCAATAGCAGACCAAGCCGAGGCAGCTACCTGGAGCCATTTTCAGGTTTTTATTCATGTTCTGATCTCAGTAGTGTTCTGAGCATTGAGTCAGGGTGGTGGTGCTGGTGGTAGAAGAGATTTGGATGAGCCACCACCAAGTTTGCCTTTTCAGGGTGAACCTGCTCTGTCTGTGCTGTCAGCAGCCTGTTCCTGAAGGGCAGGATCTCCTTGAAAGGTTTTCCTATGGGAAACCGCGGCCGCCTCTCTTTGGATGGGGTTACCGTAGGATGCTAAGTTGGTTTCTTGCTACTGGTACGGTATCTGATAAGGGTGGTTTAATTTGCTTACAGGGATTAGGGAGTGGATTTTCCTCCTTGAGATTTCCCTTCTCAAAGTTGGGAGTGTGTATGAATGCATGTAAACCTGGGAGTAATGGACTGCCTCGTGGGGTATTTATTTTATATGCAGGTGTTTATGTTAAATAATGTAAATTGAGGAGGAGTAAGATGTGGGATAGCTCTAAGACCTCTGTATCAGGAGCCTTAGCAAGGTCATGTTTGCAGTACTTTCTTGACACCAGCTTAATCTGAGATGTAGAGGTTGTGCATTTAAAGTGGAGCAGAAGGTGCCTCGTGCTGAGATCCTACCCCAGAGATCACACCGTGCTCCTGTCTCATCTGAGACTTCTGGGAGAAGGAGAAGGCTGTGATGTTACCCGTGGCGTCTTTGTGTTCTCCCCAGCTGTGAAATTGTCTGAAATTAGGATTTGTCTATATGCAAATATGTACTGGCTTAGTCCCCGTCTTCCCCTTCTGCAGAATACATACATCATCTTTTTGAGTGAATGATGTTACATTGGTTTAAGGGCCACTTATATTGGTGGAGGTAAAGATTTTGTTCTGTGTACTTTGAATTTTTTTTTTCCAGTTGCCCTTAACCACTTTTTCGTGGTTCCTGGAGCATGGGGCTTAGAAGCTCTTTACTATTTTTGTAACTTTATACTTTTGCCCTTTTGCTGCTCTCCCCCCAGTGCCTCTTTAATTGCCTAATACTGACATCATTTAAACTGAACCCTAGTCTGGTTTGGCTGCATTAGTTTCAAAATAACACTTTGTGCTAAACCAGAGCAAAGACACAGATACACGAGCCCTGTGCGTCCTATCCCATGCATGTTACCTGCTGTTTTAACTCGCTGCTTGCTAGACTCTTACAAATTTCCTCTTCTAATATGGTTTCAATTTCTCCCCTTTAAAATACAGTTAAAGCAGTTTTGTTAGCAAGTGGTAACTTCTGTGCACACCACTGCTCCGTTCAGTGCTGGCAGAAGAGTCTCTCCTGATACAGATCTAAGTTACTGCGGAGCCAGATCTGCTACAAAGCAGAAAGTGGTATTTGCTTAAAAACAACATATTAATGAACTAGACTTTGTAGTAGTTTTCTGTTATTTTTCTGCTCGGTGCATCTAAGGAAGTGGGCTTGTATTGCTTTGATAGCGCTCGATGATAGCTCTGCAAACTGCAAATCACAAGACCAAATCTTTGGCAGATAAAGAGGCATCGCTTCTGCCATAAGCTTTAACTATGGCAGCTCAGCATCTGACCCAAATCTGCTGTGCACAATTTTTTTGGAAAATGTTGTAAATCTGACCTTTGGACAAACTGATTCAAAACCCTGGACGCCTTCCTGTGCAACCTCATCTAGGTGTTCCTGCTCCGGCAGGGGGATTGGACTGGATGAGCTTTTGAGGTCCCTTCCAATCCCTAACGGTCTGTGATTCTGTGTGATTCTTTATTTTCCATGTAAACCATAATGGAGCCTGATGCCAGATAAGTCAGGCCGATATTAAAGACCTTGTTTACGCTGTGCTTCTGTCAGGATAAGTATTCAGTGTATCACAGTTGAAAAATATTTTTCAAGTCTTGTAGAAACATTAACTTCTGAAATGCTCCGTGGAATGGGTTGTTATGGAATTGAGTGCTGTTGAAAGAACCAAATTTTTAAAAATAAGGTAATTTTAGGTTAAAGCTGCGGATAGCAATAAGCTGGCTTGGATAATTAATTTGGATTTAGAGTTGCTTAATTTCTCTTGGCATCTGCAAATCCCAAACTGACTTGTGGAATGTCCCTGATTGAAAAAAAGATTTTATTGAAAACATGTGTGGCTGTTTTTGAGGGTAACAATATTTGAAGACCAAAGTAGCATCTGTATATAAATGGAGGTAGACAAGAAAACTTAATGTAAACATAGCTAATGTGATTTATTTTTTTGGTGGCATTTGTTAGCATGTGTTCTGTTTTAGAACAAAACAGGCTACAGGGGAAGTAAATTCTGTTGTGTAGAAGGATTGTTAGCTGTTCTGAATTAGAATTTTAAATTCATAACACTGACAAAGCTGGAGTAGAAATCTGTGTTTTTCAGACAAAACAAGAGTTGTTAGTTGGGAGTAGACCTCAAAATTCATGGAACTTATATTTATTCTTCCGAGTAAAATAAAACACTGGAAGGAGTATCTCTTTCTTTATCCTGTGTCTGTGTATGTCTTTACATTAGAAGGTTGTATTGAGTAGGATTGCCAGGATTTCTTAAATGAAACCGATTCAGAAATGAGGAATGAGGAATGCTACCGCGTTGCTCTCATGTTAGAAGACCTATTTCCATCGACCAGAACAGTGTGTCACTACAAAAATGTGTAACTGTAGTAATGGAAAATATTAATAACACTTTATGGTGATATGCACTTCAGAAATTATTTTTAGTTATCTCTGCTCAGCGAGACTAAACTATTTTTTTGATTCATTGCAGGACCAGTTTGACAACTTAGAAAAACACACGCAATGGGGTATTGATGTGCTGGAAAAATACATCAAGTTTGTAAAAGAAAGAACAGAGATTGAACTCAGCTATGCAAAGCAGCTTAGGTAAGTTGATGTGGAAAGTTCTGGACTTTGAGCTGCATCTGTTCAGAGTCTGTGATTATCTGTAAGTTCGCTGTTTCAGTGGGGGTAATTGGTTTGATTCTAAATAATGGCTTTTACAGAATAGCCTTAATTTAGAGAATGGAAAGCTAAAGCTAATTTAAGAGACAGTTTTATTATCTCTGCTAAAAATCATATGCTTTGCAAAAAGAAAGGTTATTTAGGTGACTGAGCATACTAGGACTTACGATTTATATGTGATAATTGGCTCAGGCTTTGAGGAAAGCATTGTAATGTTTTCCATGAAATTAGGACTGCTGTATGTAGATGCTGAAGGGTTGAAGAATTCAGCAGAATAACGATCGTTTGTTGTAAAGCAACGTTTTGGGTTTCTTTTAATAGACAAGTTCTTCATGAAGGTGTGTTGGAGAAACTGCAGGTCAGAAAGTCAGTCTCAGCTCTGCAAACTTGGTCTATGGACCTAAACCAGCCAGGTTTGCAGCCTGGCATTTGAATTTTGTCAGTTTTAGTCTTGCCACTGTTACTGTGATGTCCCCTGAACAGAGCAGAGATCCTGGGAATTTATCTCAGGTAGCTAAATTACTGGAAATTCCTGCTATGTATGTTCTGCATGTCTGGTTGGACCATCAGGTTGTAGGTAGAGACGGGTGTGTGTGAACCAGGCCCTGAAAACATTCCCTGAGGTCAGATCTGGTGTAAACGGGGAAAGGGGAAGGGGTGCCGAGAACCCTTGCACAAGGAGTAGCTCTTGCCCTGCCTCTCCCAGTAGAGTAGAAAACATGAGAGGTGAGCAGGGGTTAGAAGGGAGTACAACACATGCAGCCCTCTGTGGGGAGAGGCTGCGGTGCAATGTTGTTGGCAGCCGCCAGTGTCCAGGGTGATCAACTGGGGGTGGTGGAGCTGAGTGGGGAGGGGAGTGCAGGACTAATAACCCTTCCCAACACCTCCAGTATTTGCATGACTGCAGTACATATTACAACTCTTTCCATCTACTCAGTATTTATAGAGATTGAGATCTGAGGTTCTAGTTGATCTGTATATAGCTAAAGCACAATGTCTGTTAGAAAAACAAAGCAACAAAAACCCCAAACAACCACCACCCAGAATTTTTTGGAGTTTGTGTTAGAATGGATTTTGGCTGCGCACCATGGCTCGTTATTCACAGGAGCTGGTAGTTGATAAAAGCCTGCCTTTATGGTTATGTGCTTTCTCAGGGGAATGCCACAAGGATTCCCCAGGGTTTCTGCTATAGATGAGCAGGAAATAGAAAATGACTTGTGCAGGAACAAATTGCTCACATCCTATGGAGATGAGAAGAGATTGAATTACAGAGGCCAAATGAGCTGGAAGAAAGAGAGTATGAGTGGAGTGGGGAAACCCCAGCAGAGTATCGGTGTGAGCAGGCCTGTCTGTGAGCAGTCACACACCAGACTCAGTTAATTTCTTAGGAGGATAAATTTCAGGTGTAAAGAGCATCATTATCAAAGTAACCACACAAAATGTTTAAGGGAAGTGGAAGGTAATTTTATCTGTGACTATCAGGAAACTCTGAACTTTTGATTTTTATTTCTTATTCTGTCCTAGACTTCCAAACCAAACTTGATTGATTTGTTTCTTTTCTCTGTATTTTAATTCCCCATGCATAGCTGCATTTGTGTCCCCCACCCACAGGTATGATCTGAGGACAAATGCATTCATCTCTGAGGAGCTCTTAAACACAGTGTGCTTAGGTGTCATTTAAGAAGATTAAAAAATATAAAATGTAGACTTGTCAAATGTCAAAAACAGTGCTGGGCATTTAAAAAAAATGCACCTGCTTTTAATAAATCTTCTCAGTCCTGGTACAAACCTTTCTTGTGTCACATCCATGTGAGTAAAAGGGCTGCAGACTATCAGTGCATGTCATAACATGCAGGCATACTATTAGGAACAAGTTAACACAAGGTACTTCTGTGGCTTTAACTCAAAGTTTTATTTGTAACGTAAGTGAAGCTGCTTAACTTTCATTTTCTTTCCTGAAACTTTGTTTCCTGCTTGGTCTCTGGGCTCCCTAGCCAGCTGATCTGTCTGACTGTCTGCATCTCAGCCTGGTCATCTCTTGAAGTTCAACTGGCTTCTATTGAAAAAGGTTTCTTTCCTTCCTCTTTATAATTCTGCAGGTATACACGCAATATTTTGTTTTAGGAGTGTTAAGTTAGATCTACATACTAGCAGGATGAATCACATTTACCTGGTTACACCAGTGGAAGAAACTCCCCAGTGTCATGTACCTTACACATCGTGCCTGCACTATCCAGATCCTGCTTGTACCATTTACGCTCAGTCCTGGTTTGAGAGTCAGGTTCTGAATTGACACAACTGTTTTCTTTATAATTGCTGAATCATTATATTAGGCTGGGAAGGAAGAGGTGCAGAAGCTGTGGTAGAGTGTTCACTTGTTCTCATGTTTTTGTTTTGGACTCCCATTGGATGTGACACTGTGGATGCTGTGCTCAGAGCGCTGAAGTGGTTTTTGTTGTCCTCCTTCCCTAGTCACTACTTACCTTGCAGCACACGCGCTTTGATTCAAAAAGTGTCAAAAGCCTTGCCTAATGTGGTGATGGATGGGTAGCCCTGAGGAAGACACATTGGAAAAAATGCTTAACACATCAGGATAATCTGAGAATCAGGAACCTCTGATGGATGATAACTGTGAGAGAGAGAGAGAGAGCAGGCTGTCAAAGAAGTGAAATAAAGGAGCAGCAAAACAAGCTGGAAAGGCAGAAAGAAATGATGCAGTGTGAAAGGCAAATAGAACTGTGAACTGGAGACAGGTGCACAGGCTAGCACCGAGTCTTCCCAGAATTGCTCTTTTCTGGCTGATGTTTGTTTGTATCTGCTAGTTCCGTCTTTAATCACTGTTAGCTCTGGAGGTGTCGTTGCTTCATGAGCTTGAACCTGGGAAGTGCTGCTGCTCTGGTCATGACACTGCCTGGTTGCGTGCTGAACTTCAGCGGTAACTTCTGAGTTCAGTATCACTTCTGTTTTTTTGTGTATATCCTGGTTAAAACCCTACGTATGTTTTTGATTTAAAAAGAACAGAGAGGGGGAAAGAACTTGGATATACAGACTATTTTTGTGTTTCATGAAGTATATAGAAAATAATAAAATGTTTAACCCAGATGCTAATCCTTGTTAGGTGCTTTTAAGTGTCTTTTTTTTTTTCTCTTAAAGCATACTGTCTGGGTATTTTTGCCTTAGCTCTGCAGCATTTCTACACCTTTAAAGATTTACAAGAAGACAGTAGCTCTGGATGTCAGAATTAATTGGGCAGTGTGCCAGTGCAGGGACGTGTGCGTTTTGAGTGTGTGTGAAAATGCCTTATTAGTGCAGTCTTCTGTTCATGTTGTCCTGTGGTTTTTTCCTCTCCTCTTTAAGCAGGTGAGGAGGGAGGCATTCCCACGGCACACAAAGAGTGCTCTAAGACTTACTGTAGTAATGCAGAGCAGACTGCAGAATTCATGCCATGGTTTTCTTAGGTTGAAGCTGCTGTACACACACTACAGAGAAGTTCATTGTTTCACAGCATCCCCTTTTCAGAGAAGGCAGAGACTGGAAAGGAGATGCTCATTTGGATCCCTTCCAGTAGTGATACTTAAATTTTGAGAAACACATGTTTGTCTGTGCAAATCTGCCAGGGTTCTGGCTACTACTCTGTTTGGGCAGATGGTCATTAATTCCTTAAGGAGAAAAAAAGGAATAAGAAATGTGAGATGAGGCCCTGCAGTCTCCCAGTTAGCAGTAAAACCAGCACACAACAGGGAATGGGTTACACCTCTGGAAAAGCCATTTCTTTTCAACAGGATATGTCCTGGGAGTTCTCCAAAGAGTTTGGCACAGATAGGTCAGTGAAACTTGGTAGCCCTTTGGACAACGATTCCATCAATACCACTTGTGTGTTATTCTTAATTGCTGAAACAACCTTCTAAAGCTAAAACAAATGGTTCCCGTTTCACAACAGAGGCTGCAAGAAAGTGTATAGTAATAGGGCTGAGTTAGAATAGAGGAGATCCCAGTACTCTGGGAAAGGTCTGAAAAGGTCTTAAAATTGCTAGGTAAGGTTTGTCAGCTGTCTGGTTTGCATAGTTTAAAAGATGGGCGGTGGTGTATTGTGCAATATGCATCGTAATGTTGAGTTTTAAGTATCACAAGGTGCGTTGAGAGTCAGGTGCACAGCACACACTCAACCCTTGATTTGCTGCCGGTGAGGGGCTTGTAGCCAGTGCTCTCAGGGCAATGAAGGCCATATACTAACTGTCAAATATGCTAACAGAGTTATGTTCAAATGTCTTACTCAAGATGTGATCAATGAAGAGCACATCAGTATTTTTAACTTAAATCATTAATTGAATGTAGGGTAGAGAGAGATGCCAGCATCTGTGCATCTGGGATAATCAAATCTCACATTTCTCCCAGCTTCAGTTGATAATGATAAAATGATCCCTTTTGACATCTCAGTGCAGCTTCCCACAGCTTCGAGAAGATTTTTGTCTTCCTTGGAAGCATCCTGCTAAAGGCAGACAAATTTGCCTGGCCATGAGTGTCATTTGCTGCAGCAAATCACACCTTAATGAGCCAGCTGATCTTAGGATATGGAGTAGCACCTTCTGCTGGGTGGAGTTAGTGAAGTATGTCTGTGTGTCCAGGAACCTGTATTTTTACTGTAAAAGGGTCTCTCCTTTAGAAGAGGTGAAGCAAACTTGTGCATCAGCGGAACCAGAACTGAGGTGTATTGACTTCATGACCTTAATTTATGAACTTCTTGGGTTGTGGATGTGCAGCTTTACTGTGGTTGTAGAGACTGAAGCACTGCAGCCAGTCCTTTGAGTGCTACTACCATGTAATCAAAGCCTAATTGCCATCGTGCTTCTGAAAAGCTGTTTAGTCACTGCACATAAAAACTGAAGCCTCACAGAATGTGTCTGTTTGCAAAGATTACCCAGTTAATTTAAAGGAGGTTTTGAATTTAATTATATATGTGTGTGTATTTTTAATTTTAGGAATCTTTCAAAGAAATATCAACCCAAAAAGAACTCCAAAGAAGAGGAAGAATACAGGTATGTTCATGACCCACTGCTGGGTGAGCATGCGTTGATGGAGGGGGGGAAAGGTTGGGTTACCAACTAGGATTTGGCTGGTAAACCAAAGACTTTAGTCAAGTGAAAGAGAGTGGAAATCATACATGCAGAAGCAGGCTTATATGGTAGATATTAAGGAGTGGATTTTCAAAGTTTGGATTTGCTCTATAACTACTCAGTTCCTTTTATATGTTATGGTTTCTGGATATCTGGTTTGGGGGGTTTCCTTTTGGGGTTTTTTTGTGTACCTTAAAATCTTTAAGCCTTATGATCCTGGCTCTTTGAAGTGAATTGCCAAACCTTTAACTACTTGCAGCAGGAACAGAAACAGTTGTTAATTTTAGCATGAAACTTAAGCTGTCTGTGTAAGAATTACATTACTCAAATGGACTGACAACACAGATTGGTAACTCACTAAAGGGATACTATTACAACACCACAGAGACCAGAGGTTTTTTAAGAGTAAGGTAAAGGATGTAGATTGTATTCCCAGTATCCTGGGATGGATTGTGCATGACTTGCTGCTCTTGAAGAATGTTGCCTGGCCTCAGCTCTCTGCTGGAGATTCACGTTATCAAACTGCATCTCCCTGCTGGCAGACGATGCTGTAGTGCTTACAGATAACAACGGCAGCATCAAAGCACAGCTCCTGCACGGAGTGACACTGCAGACATGAATACAGGTGATGATAGACCACATGTTGATAAGAACATTCCTGCCCTTGATGAGATTAAAGATAATTTTTGAAGATAACTTTCTAGAGGAGGAGCTTTGCAACAGATGGGCTGTAGGCCAGAGCGAGACCCTTTTCCTTGGAGCCCTCTGACTCCAGAGTTTCTCAATGTCAGTGTTTTGTGAGGCATCAGTGTTGGATGGAGGCATCGCAGAGTCTGACCCTGCAGCCCTGTACTGCAGGAGGCTGCTCTGCCTCTGGAGAGCCCAGCAGTGCACTCAAACCCTTGACTTTGAAATTTGAAACATTTCAAATGAGTTTGGATATGGATCCAACTGTATGATTATATTAATTTAGATTTTTGGGTCAGAGCCCCGAGCTGCTGTATACAGCTAATCTAGTGGCTCACATTAACAGAGATAACAGCCTTTTCATTTTCTTTTTAATTTATTTTTAGTAATGTTGTTTGGGAATCAGCTATTTATGCCATTGTTTCCAGAGATATTGGTATTTACACAAGGAAGCTTATGTTACCAGAACATCAGCTGTTTTGGTCTGTACCCAGGATTAGGAATAAATCTGCCTTTGGGTAGCTATACCATAAATGGCTATTTTGAGTTTATTACAGCCTTTTTGGACACATCTTACATTTCTGGAAAAGGGTATTGGAATTAAGTGATTCATGTGATGTGGCACAGAAGAGCCTGTGTATCCTTTGCCCTTTTAAATAGAGTGTTCACCTTAGTGTTGTTTCCTCATGTCTGTAAATGTCTGGGGATTTGTTATGCGACCTTTGGGTGCCTCGGACACTGCTTTGAGACAGTCTGCTTAAAAAGGATCTGTTTCAAGCTTATTGTCAGTCTGTAGTTCTGTGGCCTTGATCCCCTCCCTGTCTTTTGCAACTGGGACTTCTCTTGAGGCAGCGCAGCTTGACTGGACGTGGCTGCTTGTATTGGATTGTATTTTTAGTCTTTTTAGTTTCTTTTTTCTGATTTTTACTGATGCCTCTTTCATCCCTAGTTGTGCCACTCTGTTTCATCTAAATCTCTTCCTCTTTGCTTTTTCACCTTTAGGTGATGTTACCAGTGCAGACCGCTCCCATTTAATATTAATCGTTTTTCTACTGTGTACAAGTGCAGTGCTTCAGAGCAGCTGACCAGCACATCCAGCTGGGTATTTAAATACAGCTCTGTTGGCTCCGTGCTGAATACACTAGTGACATAATCTGCTGTTTTGAAATGGTGTGCACAGATGTTTTTCTTCCTTTTAATAATACATTGGATGTCATATTGGAGATTATTTTATACGAAAAATAAACTTGCAATGGAAGATACTAAAAAATATGGGTTGACAATGAACACCTGGTTAGTAAACACACTGCATTTTTGGAAACTTTATAAACTGTAGCTGATTCAAATCCCATTTACACAGTGAAAAGTTTTCAGCATTATGCTAGCAACAGTGGTGGTTGCTTAGGCAGGATTTTCCCAGGTAGAGCACACTGGCTCTGTGCACTGAACTGTGGGGCTTGAAAGCGTGTAACTAGAAATGTTTGGTGAACAGAGATTAGAACAGTGAAGTCCCAGAGCTGTGCTGATAAAAAGCCTGGCACTCTAAAACTGTGATACTTTAAGTCAATGTCAAACTGTCTAAATCAAGATTAATTTATCAGACAACTGTCAGTGTGTGGGGTAGGCTTCCTCCTGAGAAATTCCTTCAAGTGAATCTGTGCTAATCCATATTGAGTCTTATGCAGCAATACTAAATGCTTTGGAAGAATACAACCTCCCTTTGCAGTGTCTTTCTGAAAAGAAAGGGACTAAAACAAACTGCATTTTTGTCCTCTGCAGGTACACGTCAACTAGAGCCTTCCTAGCCACTTTAAATGAAATTAATGACTATGCCGGACAGCATGAGGTCATTTCAGAGAACATGACCTCTCTTATCACTGGAGAGTTAACACGCTATGTGCAGGAGCTGAAACAAGAGAGGAAATCGGTAATTGATTATTTCATTATTCACAATTATTTGCTATTTAAGATAGGTAATTAGTTGTAGGGGAGTTCCATGTTAAGCAAATGTATGTATAGTTAATAAACATGAGCTTTGCTAATGAGCTAAGCATCAAAAAGTGGGTTATGTGCCCTGGCCAAGTCACTGAACCATTTGAATCGAATGTTATAAAATCAGACAGCGATGCCTTCAGGAGAATCCCTGCTAAATAAGGTCAGAGACCCATCTGTGCTTAGGGCTCTGTTAGCCAGAAGCTTGTTTAGGGAAGAGTCCAGCAGCACTGTGTAAAGCTTGAAATAAGTAGAGGAACTGCATTACTGAGACTGACTGAAAGCATTGTTAGGATCTTGGTACACGTTTTCCCGTTTATCAGCCAGATCTGGTCAACAGAACTTTCTAAACAATAATTCTAAGGAGAAATATGGAATCTGTCTTGTTTTGTGATGTTGGGGAGTCTGGTTTTCAACCTGTTATCCTTCAAGACTGGTAGAATTAGGAGCCTTATGTTATTACTCTATTTTAGCTGGTAGTTTAGGGATCTATGTGCCTGCTACAGTAAATGTTCAATGCAGATTAGTTTGCATGTCACCAGCTCTGAAAGGCATACAATTGGGATGTGCTTTTGGCATACAATTGGGATTTGATACTATTCCTTGCCTTGAACCCTTTTTTCCATGAGATGAGTGGCCATAAAATAGAGATTCCATGCATTATTGTTACAAATACTCGTAACACAGCATGTGTTGAAGTCTGTGCAAGACCAAAGTCCTGGAAATTACCATCTTCTCCTAAGTACAGTATTAGGATGGTAAGTCTGTCAACAGAGGAATTGAATATGTTGGCATACGTTTAAATTGCAGAATGGTATGTAATCTTTCAAAGGCATAATATTTTGGCAGCAACATGTTTTACATATAGCAGCGATGAGAATGTTTTCTTCTGTGACTTTTTATTCAGCATGGGCTCTGTACAATAAGCAAAGCAAATAAAACCAAGCATTTTAGTACAGCGTTTTTCTGTCACTTCTAATGTTTTTACCTAATTTTTAATTATATGGATGTATAACGTGATTGGAATATCTGTTAGACATTTTAAGTACTATGAAAGAACTTGTTATCTTTCCTGTAAAGAATGTGATAGCTTTGTGTATTGCTCTTTTGTTTGTAGAATTTTGTTGTAAGTATGTCTCATATAAGTAATGGGTGAATGACAGGAAAATTATTTTAATATTGGTCGAGTGATAACAGCATGGAAACGGCAAAAAAACCCCAACTGACAGTGTATTTACCTGCTGTTGCTGATAATTCTTAGCCTTTAACAGAAATCGCTTGTCAGTCATGGTTGTTTTGTTCTCGTAACATGAATATAAGCTACATGAATTATGAATCGTTGTCTGATTCCTGTAGATTTCTCAAATGGTGTTGAAAAGGCAACTGCTTCTGCCTTCAGGCATTTTTGATACATAGCCTCTCTCACTTCATACCGTGAAACACAAAAGCATCAATCATCTGGGATCTGCAGGAGGGAAAGGTGGTGGCTGTGTAAATATCACAGAGGGCTGATGCTCTGACAAAACCTTTTATGATACGACTTGATGAATGGCTTGTGGTATTTCCAGAAATTTTCCTGGCAGAGTTTCATGCTCGCTGCTTGATGGATCATCACCCGCTATGCTACACGTTCATAGAATCAGTTAGGTTGGAAAAGACCCTTAAGATCATCACGTCCAACCTTTAACCTGACACTACCAAGTCCACCAAGTTGACCAAGTTGCTATAAGCTGTAAGAAAAGATGATCTTCTGGGCCTAGGGCCACACATAGGAATTGGGAGACCCACATTCTTGTATAATTTGAATTAAGTTAATCAGGTGTCCAAATAACTGTAAAATGGTACAGATTTCCAGTTATTTTCAGTATTACTGAGATAGATAAGCACCCTTATTCTTTTTGTTGTAATTTCCCCCCAGGGAGAGGGAAATAATACACAGAGGGGGTGTAAGTCTGGAGCTCAGGAGACTTCTGGGTTACCGTAGTTTTTACAGGTCGCGTGCTTTGTTGCATGATGGGTTTTGATCATCAGAAAGTGGTAAGAAAAATCAAAGACTCTATTTTTGTAAAACTAAAGATATTCATCTTTAGTAACCAAGGTCATTCGGTGCGTTAAACTTTATTGTATTATGCATTCCTCTTCCCTAGGGTAGCCCTGGTTGATGTCACCACCATGCCAGATGAATTGGTTTGCCCTTTTGGTTGCTGACTTTAGGCGTACGCCCTGCCTGCTTTTCATGCACGGTGTGTGCATGTGAGAGGGAGAACTCCTCACACTGTTTCAGTTCTTCCCAGCCGTCAAGTGAAGTGAAACTTGTTATAGTACAGTTCCTCACTTCAACTTCTTCTTGTATTCTCCTGATCTTAGTGTGTCCATGCTCTCATGTGAGTAATTCTCATCTTCAGCCAGGAACTTGCTAGCTGCTTCAAAGCTGAGATTTCAGTTCTATGCTACGTGTGAAGGTCATGCCTCATCCACCTTCCTTTTGAGGTTCTTGAGGCCAGATGCATGTGACTGAATTCCCTTTTACTGTATGAAGGCCCCTATCACCAAGCCATGAAAGAGTTGGGGATCATCTCTCAAGATTGGTTCAGGGAGAGAACTTGCTGCTTCTTTGTGCCACCCCAATTTCACCAAAATCTGACTCTAGGGTAGATGTAGAAGGTGTCAAGTTTGAGCTGGGGAGCCTTCCATATTGTGAAACTGGGTCTTAATCTTGCATGTCCGAAAAAAAGAAAAGGCAGTGATCACAGTAAGGTCAAGAGGTGTGTTTGGATTTTATTTTGCGAGCGTTATCAGGTTGGAGCATTAACGAGCATTTCCAGGCTGGAAGTTTACTCAAGAGTTCTGCTCCCACCCATTGCAAATGTTACTGGTGGTGACAGCAGCTCCTAAGCAAACTAGTTATTCTCCATGTGAGAGAATGATCCACCAGCCTTTTGATTGTTAGATGAGAGAATCTGCTTCTCCACGTTGCTGCATCTGCCAAGTTACTTGGCATCTTTTGTTCTATTTAAAAGGAAAGAATTATATTACTGTGTGTTTTTTTTCTGGTACTCTCTTTTTGGGTGACACCTAAGGGGATTTCTGGGCAAACAGTTAACCAGTGCAGCCCAAGCATTGAGTTTGGCTGAGAAAACTGGGCCTGTTCAGCCTTGGGAAGAGAAGGCTCAGGAGGGACCTTATCACCATGTACCAGTACATAAAGAGTGGCACCAAGGAGGTGGAGACTCCCTTTTCACAAGGAGTCCCATGGAAAAGACGAGGGGTAATGGACACAAGTTGCTTCTGGAGAGATTCCCATTGAACTCCAGAAGAAACTGTTTTACCATGAGCTCAATCAGACATTGAACAATCTCCCAGGGGAAGTGGTGAATTCGCCCACACTGATCAGTTTTGAGAGTCAGCCTGGCAGGGCGCTGCCTCGTCTCATTTAAACCGTACTTCTACCGTGAGAGGTTGGACTGGGTGGTCCCTGCGGTCCCTTCCAACCTGGGATTCTGTGATTCTTTGATTTTCTTCTTTTTCTTAAAGCTTCCCAGGAGATAGCTTGGTTTAGGTGTTCTCTCAACTAAGGCAGAGGAAAACCCTCAATAGTGTAGTTTGTCTGGACAGAAACTCAAAAATTGATTCCTGGGATAATTCTGATTTAGATCTGTGGCTGCAAATGAGGTCTGACTCACGGTCTCTTCTGGCAGCAGCTGCTCTGTGTAGCCATGACTCAATCAGCTTTGCTAAAAATGTATTTGGGAGTCATGAACTATCCCTCCTGTTACCGCTGCTGCTTTCACCTCTACCTCCACCTCCCCTTGGGGGTGGGCTGGCTCCATACAATCACTCATGAAAGTCAAGTACAAGCCAAGAGCTTTGCTGCAGACTGAACTAGTGCAGCGCTGGGATTCTGTGGTTGGGAGAGCATTTACCTGATGTCAATGCGCTCCATTTTTTGTCAGGATAGCAGGGGAATGGGGAATGAATGCATCCTTATGGGTACCAAGAGCACTAAAATGGTCTGGTTCTTCATGGTGGAGCGTGCGCGCCCTCCCTGCGTGTATTCATCCGGGGGGTGCACATGTCAGAGAGCTTTCTGTTGCTTGTAGGCTCTCAGGTGTTGATGAAAAGTAAATAATTGGAGGAATTCTGCCACATTCATTCTTTCTGAATAGTGCCCTGTTCTGCAAATAGCCCTGTGGTTTT